AGGGAGATTAGGAGGAAGGGGGGAGGAGGAGGAGTAGGAGACACAAGGAAGGTGAAGGTGAGGGAGGGAGAGAAACAGGATGTGGGAAAGAGGGAGAGAAGTGGGAAGCAGGAAGAGGGAGGAAGGGAGGGGAATGGTAAAGTAAAGAAGGAAAGGGTGGAATATAAGGAGGAAGGGATGGAGGGCTAGATAAATAGGTAGAAAGATAAATAGATAGATAGACAGATTTATAGATAGATAGATAGATGAATATACATAGATAGAAGAATAGATAGATAGTTAGATAGATAGATAGATAGACAGATAAAAAAATAGATGAATAGAAAGATAAATATAGCATGAACATTCCGAAAACAAAATCATACAAAAAGAGAAGCAAAATATCCCAGGAGGACATAAAGCACAGATTCAGACAACCCCTTTTCCTCCCCCCCCCCTCTCCCAGGTGCAAGGACCCCCACTGCCTGCGTGCCCTACCAAGATGGCGTCCTCATCAACCCGTCGAACCGGCTGGCACTAGTAGGAGAGTGCCTGGACATGTGCCAAGAAAACATGACATACAGCTGGCAGGTTTTCGACGAGTGAGTGTTTCTGTTGTGTGTGTGTGTGTGTGTGGTGTGTGGTGTGTGTGTGTGTGTGTGTGTGTGTGTGTGTGTGTGTGTGTGATATAATATATCATCATATTTGGATGTAGAATTAATATCACACGAAGTTTCTATCAAATTATATGAAATATAATGAAAAGTTGTACATTCTTTCGTGAAGCAAAGTTTTTTTTATCATTTTCTGAAATAGCGATTATTTATAGAGTTCTCGAATCTAAGTAATAGTTCTTTAGTGTTAATTTTTAGTCTTCTTTCTCATTTTTAATCAACTCTATAGTGATATTCTAATTATAAGATTTTTGTGTTTATATTCAGAGATTTATTATCGTATATCATCTTACTGTGTGCTACAGTGATAGCTTGAATAAATCTAATGATTTAAGGCTTCTTGAAGATAAGTCACAGTCGTTTAAATACCTTCACCAAGGAGGTTATGTTTTGGGTAGCGTTGGTTATTTTATTTGTTTATTCTTGGTTAACAGGATAGAAGTACCTATCATTATTATCATTACCTTTATTATATGCCTGGCGGAGGCATGTGCTCTCTAATTACTTTTAGTTATGTATATATATATATATATATATATATATATATATATATATATATATATATATATATATATATATATATATATATATCAGCATCCTGTGTTCTTTAAATTCAGTCATGTCCAGAGAGTTCTGAGATTCCGTCTAAATTTCCCCCTTCTATCACAAATTTCTCCATCAATGTAAATTTTCCCCTTTTTATCACAGTCTTCCCCACCAATGTAAATTTCCCCCCCTTCTATCACAGACTTCCCCACCAATCTATATTTTCCCCTTCTATCACAAATTTCCCCACCAATCCTAATTTCCACATCACTCCTCGCAATCTCCCTAATCCATGTCCTTGTCCGACAGCTTGGGCAAGCCTGTCAAGGAGGTGGACACGCTATGCGGACCAACCGCAGATTGCGGTGCTGGTGAGTTCGTGGGTTCGAATCACTCCTTTGTCGCAACATCTTTTTGTGTCACTCTGTTATCGATGTTCCGCAATATAACAGTTCTTGTGTGCTGTGTGTTGACGAAGATATTGTTTAGTGTATTATATTTAGAATTACTGTATACTCTCTGTGTAGGAATAGTATTGAATGGGTTGACAGAATATTCACCATCGGAAAATGCATTTGCGTAAATGCTAATCTACATATCTGATGGACATACATAGAGATGGTTGAGATATTAGATGCATAGATATGTAGCCTTTTATGCGTATGCAACATGAATATGCGCGGTAGAGGAATCTTTCACATGCATGTTCGTTTTTATGAGAATATCTGGTTTTATTCTGATCTGTTTTGTTTTTGAAACGTTTGAGGAGCTATAACTTTTACTTTTTTCTCATTTACATTTATTGCTTCGTCTGTATACGCATTTTCGCTCCTTTAGTTTCTTTTCTCTTTGTCTTTTTTTTTACTCTCACTTACATTTATTGCTTCGTCCCTATATGTATTTTTCCCATTTTTTCTTCTTTTCCTTCCCTCCTCTGTATTCCAAATCTTCATCCCACATCCCTACATTTCCATCCATCCTTCCTTCCATCTTTCCATCATTCCTTACTTCTCTCAGGTATTCTCTTTCTCACCTCTTTTCTCGTTCCCTTTTTCTCTCTCTTCTCGTTTCCTTTTCTCCTCTTTCTCTCTCTCCTTTTTCTCCACCTCTTTCTCCCCTTTTCTCACCTTTTCTCTCTCTCCTTTTCTCCACCTCTTTCTCTCTTTCTCCACCTTTTCTCGCTCCCCCTTTTCTCCACCTCTTTCTCGCTCCCCCTTTTCTCCACCCTCTTCTCGCTCCCCCTTTCTCCACCTCTTTCTCGCTCCCCCCTTTTCTCCACCTCTTTTCTCGCTCCCCCTTTTTCCACCTCTTTCTTCTCCCCCTTTTCTCCCTCTTTTCTCTCTCTCCCCCTTTTCTCCACTTTCTCTCTTTCTCGCTCCCCCTTTTCTCCACCTCTTTCTCTCTCTCCCCCTTTTCTCCACCTCTTTCTCGCTCCCCCTTTTCTCCACCTCTTTCTCGCTCCCCCTTATTATCAACAATCCTTTCCCTTCCACCCAGTGTTCATAACGGCCAAGACAGTGAAGGACTTGGCCATCGGGGCGAGGTTTTTCGCCATCAACCCAAGCATCGGGAGATTCCGGCTGAAGCTGACTATGGGGACGCCAGCCAAGATCTTCGGGTAAATGCTTATCTTTTAAGGGGGGGACGGAGTTAAAGGTGAATGAGATGAATAGATGTGTTTCGGCAGGGAATGTCGTATGGTTGTAATGGTAGGTATGGTAGGTTTATGCTGTGCTTGTAAGTGTGTGTGTTCTGGTGGAAAATGGGCATGTTATATCATGATAGGAAATGGATATGCTATGGTAGGAAATATATGGGTGATAGTAGATATGCGTTAAAATATGATTTCAAGCGTATCGTTATTTTCTTTATATTTTTTAATAGATATGTAATTAATTTCGAACTGTATTTTATGTATGCATACATACATTTATTTATCTATCTAATAAAAAAACACAAGCGCCCTCATGACGAGTTTAAACACAACACACACACACACACACACACACACACACACACACACACACACACACACACACACACACACACACACACACACACACACACACACACACACACACACACACACACACACACTTCCATCCAATATCCTGCCTTACCAGGTTCTCTCTCAAGCGGTTTCCTTCCACAGGTATTCCCAGGCCTTGATCATCCTAAACCAGGCGCCGCTGGGAGGCGTGTGCACGATCTCGGGAAGTTACGGCAAGGCGCTGGTGGACAATTTCCCGACCTCCTGCAACAACTGGAAAGACGCTGAAAACGCCGGAATCTCCAGCTATGTCTTTTACACGTATCAGGACAAACCGACGGGTCAGGTGAAGAACACCATCGCCGCCGCCGCCCTGAGCAGCATCAACATCATTTTCCCCGTGGGCTACTTCGAGGTCAGGTGCGAGATCTGGGACACGTTCAACGCCTTCACGGACGTCCACATCGGGTTCGTGAATGTGACCATGCCGACTGAGGAGGAGGTGCTTTTGTACAACATGTCCGAGAAGATGGATTATTTGTCAGCGGTGGGAGACCAGACGACCCTCGGGATGGTCATCGTGGCCTCCAGTTCGATTCGCGAAAACGCCGACTGGCTCTCCCTCGACGAATCGGCCATGGGGAATCTGACGGAAGATGAGCAGTTATCAAGACTCCGCGACATCACGGGCATGAACAAGAATTCGCTCGATCTTGCGCTCGAGTCGATGAGCTTTGCCACACTGTCTCAGATCAACGTGGGCGCTGGCATCATGGAGTCGTCCGTCAGTGGCATCCTTACGTCGGACCTTGCAGCCTACACCGTTGACTTAGAGACGAGGGAGTCGGCGCTCAACCTCTTGGATAAAATGACAAACACACTGGACGATGTGACCGTCGCCTCTCCGTACGAACTCCAACCTTTCTTGACAGCTTCCATGAACACAATGAGCGCCCTCATGACGGGTTTGAATAAGATCATCGAAAATCCCGAGAAGGTTTGCCCGACAGATCAAGACGCGGCCGGCGACTGGGACTACAACGTAGACCTCGGCGATGACTTATTGATGGACGTCCCCCTTGACCGCGACGCGCAACTGAAGCAGAATGTCTACGACACCACGAGGTTGAAGGCCAAGCAGCAGGTTGACAAGATGATGGGCCTGGTTGACAAAATTAGCGAAAAGGTCAATGAAAAGTGCGTTGTGGGCGAGACAGTGAAGGCCAAATCAGAAAGCGGAGCGTCCATTGTTGTTTCCAAGCTGACTGAAGAAGTGTTGTGGAGGGGCATGCTCGTTGACCCTGGGGATGAATTTAATGCATCTGTCAAATTTCCAGAACTATTTTGCCCTTCCCGATACAACACACCAAACACAAGGTGCAAAGAGGAGTTCTCCATGACAGTTGTAGTGTGGCCATGCATTACGCATGTGTTCCCCGCGTCCAAAGAGCTGCTCACCAATCGGACTAAAGTCATTAGCATTGATATTGCAGTCAGAAGTGAAAAAATCGATGTTAAGAATGAGACGAATCCGATCATCCTCGAAATTCCTCGCGATCCTCAGACTCTCCCAAATCCATTGCACGTGAACACCAAGGACGTGATCAATGCCCATTTGCCAATAGTGTACCATTCTTTCAACATCACGAGGGAATCTTCAGCTTTTACCATTGACGTGTTTCCAGTGGACAGCCTTCCTTCGCAGATGGTGCTTATGATTGGCTATGAAAGGATGCCTACTCCTTCGAATTACAGTAGCATTCACTTGATTAGAGATTTCCCCGAAGGCGAGAATAATTCCTATACCTTCT